GCTGGCTCCAACCGGACAGTTGCTGGCTGTGATACGTGCGGAATGGCAAGAGCCTTTGAGCGGGAGATAAACAGGGATCCAGCAACATGAAATTGGTTCGAATATAGGCATAGCAAAGTGATCTGAATTCTCTTGGGATACTTCAACAACAAGGCCCTGAGCCTGCTTGCAGGGGGTAGCCAGATGAAAATCTAATACATAAATAAATAAATGCATTTTAAAAACCCAACACTTGTACTTTTTTTGTTTAAAAATGGTGTTACGACCAACACAGTGCCTGGAGGAACACAGGAACAGGTTGATGACTCGTGAGCAGAGCGTATTTATTTTCTGATTTTGAAGCCAGAGGGAAATGAACAGGAAACTGAGGCAGGGGAGGGCATTTGTGGCCGCCACATTTCCCTTCCACTGCTGGAGAAATCTGCAGCTGCTGTGCCACTACAGAGAGAAGGCAGCGCTTCTTCACTCAAGGCACAGTTTACAGAATACCCTGCAATAAGGCGTGCTGGGACAACCTCTTGCTAGGATGGCTTTTGTCAACAAAAAAAAAATTTTTTTTTTAAATGTCCTGTTTATAAATCATCTGATATGTGGGCCATAATTGGAACTCTGCTTGACTAAGGGGTATAAGGGCTATAGCCACAAGGTATAGATAGGAACTCTCGGTCTGGGGCCAGGGATGCTCTGTATTCTTGGTGCTTGGGGGGGGGTCAACAGTGGGAGGGGGCTCCTAGTGTCCTGGCCCCACTGCTGGACCTCCTGATGGCACCTGGTCTTTTTGGCCACTGTGTGACAGAGAGTTGGACTGGATGGGCCACTGGCCTGATCCAACATTGGCTTCTCTTATGTTCTTATGGTTTGGGGATGAAGAAGAAGAAGAAGAAGACGAAGAAGAAGATGACGAAGACGACGACGAAGAAGAAGAAGAGGAGGAGGAGGAGGAGGAGGAGGAGGAGGAGATTGGATTTATACCCCGCCCTTCACTACCCAAAGGTGTCTCAGAGCGGCTCACAAACTCCTTTCCCTTCCCCTCCCCACAACAGACACCCTGGGAGGCAGGTGGGGCTGAGAGAACTCTTGACAGAAACTGCTCTTTTTCAAGAACAGCTCTTGTCAGAACTACGGCTTGCCCAAGGTCATCCAGCCAGGTGCAAGTGGAGGAGTGGGGAATCAAACCCGGTTCTCCCAGATTAGAGTCCGTGCACTTAACCACTACACCAAACTGGCTCTCAGGGTAGAGTGCCACAGAGTCCACCCTCCAAAGCAGCCGCTTGCTCCAGGGGAGTTGATCTTGGTTGTCTGGAGATCAACTGTAACAGTGGGAGACCTCTAGGTGCCACCTGGGGGTTGGCAACCCTAGTGCAAACTCTAAAAAGTGGCCTGTTAAGGACTGAGCAGAGGCCCCGAGAGCCATAGAAGGCTGAGGGCAGCCGAGAGTCGGCTAACAGGATGGGAAATCGGACGGCAACTTGTAACCAGTGTTCCCTCTAAGCTGAGTTAGTGTGAGCCAGCTCACAGTTTTTTAGCCTCCAGCTCACACGTCTTTGACTTCGCTCAGGAAGGAGGACTCCAGAGCAGACTAATTTATGCAGTAGCCAAATGCCTCGCTCACGACTTTAATGCCAGGAGCTCTCAAAGCAGAATTATTGCTCACAAGACTCTGCAGCTTAGAGGGAGCATTGCTGGCAAACCTCACTTGTATTGACTGATATACAAAAACCATTTTGTGACGGAATGTCTGTACTTCCCTTTCGCTGAATAACACAACAGCCAAGGCACTCCTCGTCTGACCTAGTTGAAACAGGAACTTGTGATGTGTTTGGAAACCACCTCCACCCCTTAGTCGAGCAGAGTTCCAATTATGGCCCACATATCAGATGATTTATAAACAGGACATTTTTTTAAAAAAAAGGCATTATTAAAACATGGGCCTAAGTTCAGTCTTCTCCTCCTTCACAATCCCAGTCCTATTGCTGTTGCTTTGAGGTGTAGTGGTTAGGAACGACGGACTCTAATCTGGAAAACCAGGTTTGATTCCCCTCTCCTCCTCCACTTGAAGCCACCTGGGTGACCTTGGGTCAGTCACAGCTCTTTCAGAGCGCCCTCAGCCCAAAAAACAAGTCTAGCTCGCCACCTAGAGGTGCATAAAGGAAAAAGAACTTGAGGCTGCCAGACAATCTTAGGATCTCCTGGCTATACTACACACAATGGAATATGGCTCAGAAACGATGGTCACAGTCACAGAACAGACCGAGGAAAAAAGAAACTATGAGGTAACTGCGCTAGAAAATATTTAAATAATAATCACAAAATTTATACAAAAAACGTTTACAAAAAATCTGCATATATAAATGCACAAAGGCAGTTGAAAATGGTGAAATTGACGATGATCTCCGGAATGTTCTTTCGTTTTGATACTATTCATCTTCCGAATGTGGATGAAAGCAGCGACTCTTGGTCTGTTATTTCAATAGGTACGTATCAACAATTTCATTAATTTTCACCGATGTATCATAACATAGGTGCAAGAGATTCTCTGAAAGGACGTTCCTAAGGCAAAGTGCTTGCATAATGGAAGTTTTATCCTTAATGAGGTGACCTCAAGATTGACTATTGGGAAAAATTTTCGCTAACCTTCTATGGCAGGCCAAGAAGCCTAGAATTAAACTTAAATTATTGCAAGAAAGGAAGGAGAAAGGAGGCTTTGGCCTACCAGATCGGTATACATATTATAAGGCCATAGCAGTGCTATGGATAAGAGAGTGGCTACTGCTAACAAATATAAGACTTTTGAAACCTGAAGGTCCTGACCTTGCTATGGGGTGGCATGCCTCTATATGGTATAATATGGAATGGAAATATTTTGAACATCACTTTCTACGAAGTGCACTTTTGAAAGTCTGGAATGAAGTTAAACCTAATTTCTATATTAAAACTCCAAGATGGGTTTCTCCTATCGAAGCTCTGACAAAACCAACGCCAAAAAACATGGAACAGAGGGGTTGTTATGATAACATGTTAGTAGTTTAGTATTTAATTTCTTAAAGTTAATTCAGCAGAGTTAGCAGAGTAAAAATGAGTCTGAGTCCATGGTAGTTTTAAAATATAAAAAATTTACTAACAACCTATCAAGGGTAGGGTAAACAGGATGAAAAATAACAAAGAGCTTTATTTCTACATCCTCTCATCTAGAAAACTTAACGAAGAGTAATGGAGACTGGAGCTTCTTCTTGCTCAGCGACAAAGAGCCATAAAATGCTAAATAGTAACACTCCATTCCCCAATCAAAACAACAAACTAGGTCTGTATCTGGCGGGCTTTCTAACTCTCTAGCAGATAGGATACAAACAAACATGTGATTCAGAACACAGCATTAACCCAGTAAATACTAGATAGAAGTGTTCTAACTTGAAACATCCAACATAACATTTTAGATAGTGACAATAAATTAAAATTAATAGAATCCTTACAAAATCAAGGTATAGAATTGTCATGGCTGGGAAAATTGCAATTATTATCTAGATATAAGAAAGATGAAAAGAAACGTTTCTATAAGAAAACTACAGATATAGATAAGATATGGTTGAACTCTGGAGAAAAACTTATAAAAAACCTATATTGTGTATTGATGGATACTAAAATGCAAGATGAACTGGTTAAAGCAGTTATGAATTTATGGGCTAAAGACCTTGGTCATGTCATTGATTTTGATAAATGGGCTAAAATTTGGGAAACTAATATTAAAATTACTAAATCTACGATACATAAGGAAAACATTTATAAAGTTAAACATAGATGGTATCTATATCCAGCAAGGTTAGCTAAATATTTTACAGCAATATTGAATATATGCTGGAAATGTAAACAGAATGTGGGCACATACTTCCACATGTGGTGAACATGTGGTAAGGCAAAGAGTTTTTGGCTGATGATACAAAAAATACTACAAGATATCATTCAATCTCCAATACCATTAAAACCAGAACTGTTTCTTCTTAACTTGATACCAGAAATATATGGGAAAGCTGATAAAATAATTTTGATTCATAGCATAACAGCGGCCAGAATTTTGTACGCTAGATATTAGAAAGTAGATAACGTTCCGGATAGAGCAGAGTTTATATATAAGCTCCTAAATGTGGCTGAAATGGATAAACTAACAACAATGCTAAAAGGGAAAGAAGAGAAACTCTTTGAAGATACCTGGACTAAATTCCATAAATGGATAAAAGATAAAGGCTGAATGTTTAAGCAAATGTATATATATATTTTGGTTATAAGAAGCAATGCTGTTGGAAGCTTCTCATAATATGAATATATATATATATATATATTAGTTTGTGTTATATATAAGTGTTGAAAACAATTTTAAAAATTTCAAAAAAAAAAAGATTGGCTAATCAATATATTGGAGATAGTTTGTTCCAGTCTGTACAAGGGGTGGAACCTTGGGGGGAAACTTCCTTTCCTTCCTTCTTAGGGTCAGAGGGAACAAACAAATGAGATGGAGTAAACCAGAACTAGAAAGATGAGTTAGTAGGACTGTTGCTGTTTTCTTCCCATGTAATCCTTTCCCTAATTTTGAAGCAAACTTTCTCTTAGAAGTTAAACACACATGTGTCTGTGCTGCATTATTCCACTGGACTTAATTTACTCTGCTAAATATCCAACAAATATAAATACAACTGTTATTTAAAAAATCACAATAAAACAATACTAATAAGACAGCAACAAAAAAAGATACTAAGCAGGGAGAACAAAACACTCTGTACATGGCCAAGAGCACTGTCCTTCAATTGTTATTTTCTACAAGAAGCTAAGGAAACACACAGAATTAGCCCCTTTCTGTAAGGCAAGTTAGGCTGAGAGATAGGGATTTGAACTCAAGCCTTTGGGCCAACAATATCCAATGCATCCTGCTGGCACCCTACCCCAGTACTAAGCCGTGGCACGGCATGCAGATTGTGTCAGGGCCAAGTCCTGGCAAAGCCTCACCTTGCTTAGGTGGTCAGAGAAGGCTGCAGCATCGCATAGACGGTTGCAGGAGTTGTCACCATGGGAATCTCCGCCAGGCATGGAGCGAGAGGGTCAGGATCCTGGGAAGGGGAAACAAACACCCTTGTTTTAACCCACCCTACTGTTGACAAAAACCAACAAAGATTTATTTATTTATTTGATTTTTACCCTGCCTTCCCAGCTGAGGCCGGCTCAGGGTGGCTTACCTAAAAACAGCTGGTACACAAAAATTCTTAAAACCATAATAATACAATGAAGTGCTCGTGCTTAGTTCCTTCATCATACAGCCAGTTCCTTAATCTTCTCCGGTTATCCTGGGCAGTCAGTTCAGGCAGTACTTGGGGGATCCAGGGGGATCAGGGCTCTTTCGTCGTAGGCTATCAGATATCGACAGTGGTGGCAGCTCCAAAGGTCTGGCGGAAGAGCTCCGTCTTGCAGGCCCTGCGGAACAGCAGCAGGTCCCGCAGGGCCCTGATCTCCTCCGGGAGCTCATTCTACCAGAGTGGAGCCGCCACTGAGAAGGCCCTGGCCCTGGTTGCCACTAGCCTGGCCTCCTTGGGAGGGCCAGCCGATTCTGGGTCCCTGATCGCAGCACTCTCTGGGGTACGTATGGGGAAAGGCGATCGCTCAGGTATGCAGGTCCCTGGCCATAAAGGGCTTTAAAGGTAAGAACCAGCACCTTGAACCGAATCCGGTATGCTATAGGCAGCCAGTGCAATGCCTTTAGCACAAGTTGGATGTGCTCCCACTTGGGGAGACCCATCAAAAGCCTGGCTGCAGCATTTTGCACCAGCTGCAGCTTCTGGATTTGAGACAAGGGCAGCCCCATGTAGAGGGCATTACAGTAGTCCAGTCTTGAGGTGACCATCGTGTGGATCACTGTTCCCAAGCCGTTGTGTTCGAGGAAGGGAACCAACTGCCTAATCAGCTAAAGGTGGTAGAAGGCTGACTTGGCAGTGGCTACTACCTGGGCCTCCACTGTTAAGGAGGTATCCCAGGGCACTCCCAGACTCCTAACCTCCGGCGCTGGCACCAAAGGCGCCCCATCGAAAGTCGGGAGTGGGATCCCTCCTACCTGCAGACTGCTCTGGCTCAGGCACAGGACCTCTGTCTTCGTTGGATTCAATTTCAGCCAGATTTATTGTTGTACACCACCCTGAGCCCTGTCTTACAGGGGAGGGTGGTCTAGAAACTGAAATAAATAAATAAATAGATAGATAAAAGCACGAGAGGGACCCTGCTAGATCAGTCCTGTGGCCCGTCTAGTCCCGCATCCTTTCTCAAACAGTGGCCAAAACAGTTGCCCTGGACGGCCAACGAAGAGGGCACAGAAGCCAAGGTCTTTATGTTGCCTCCTTACTGCCTCTGCATATGGAGGTTCCCTTTACTCACCATGGTTAGCAGCCACTGATGGATCTCTCCTTGAATCAGTCAACCCCCCTTTTAAGTCCGTCTGTGCCTGTGGCCATCACTACATCCTCTGGCAGGGAATTCCACATTTAATTACTCACTGTGGAAATTACTCCTTTTGTCTGTCTTGAACCAACTAGACAACAATTTCATTGGGTGTCCCTGAGCCCTACCACGGGGAGGGGGGGGAGAGAAAAGGTTCTCTCTGCCCTCTCACTATCTCACGCATACTTTTTCTAAACCTCTCTCACGCATTTCTCCTTAGTTATCACTTTTAAAAACTGGAAAGTCCCCGGCTCTCAGCCTTTCCTCCTAGCAACGCTGTTCCAATCTGTTGATCATCTTGGTTTGCCCTCCTCTGCCAGCCCTGCAACAACCCTTTTTTGAGATACGGTGAATCACTGCATGTATGTTTATTCTGTATAATTTATTCTTGCCTTTGCAAGCCCACTGGGTCTAGGACTTTTCAGTTTAGAAAAGAGTCTAAGACTTTTTGCAAGAGTCTGGGACTTTTCGGTTTAGAAAAGCGACAACAAAGGGAGGACATGAGAGAGGTGCATAAAATTATGCAGGGGGTGGAGAGAGTGGAGAAAGAGAACTTTTTCTCCCTCTCTTAAAATACATGATTGAGGTTTATAAGATTATGCATGGGATAGAGCAGGTCGAGAAAGAAGTCCTTTTCTCCCTTTCTCACAACACAAGAACTCGTGGGCACTCAATGAAAGTGCTGAGCAGTTGGGTTAGAACGGATAAAAGGAAGTCCTTCTTCACCCAAAGAGTGATGAACACGTGGAACTCACTGCCACAGGAGGGGGTGGCCGCTACAAGCATGGACGGCTTCAAGAGGGAATTGGATAAGCATATGGAGCAGAGGTCCATCAGTGGCTATTAGCCACAAGGTACAGACAGGAACTCTCGGTCTGGGGCAAGGGATGCTCTGTCTTCCTGGTGCTTGGGGGGGGGGGGCAACAGTGGGAGGGCTTCTGGTGTCCTGGCCCCACTGCTGGACCTCCTGAGGACCCCTGGTATTTCTGGCCACTGTGTGACAGAGTGTTGGACTGGATGGGCCATCGGCATGACCTAACATTGGCTTCTTTATGTTCTTACTAGAACTTGAGGGCATCCAATGAAGCTGATGGGCAGTAAATTGAGGACAGACAAAAGGAAATACCACTTGACACAGAGAGTGATTGAAATGTGGAATTTGCTGCCAGAGGATGTAGTGATGGCCACAGGCATAGACGCCCTTAAAAGGGATTCATGGAGGATAAGTCTACCAGTGGCTACTAGCCATGGTGACTGAGGGGAACCTCCACATTCAGAGGCCCTAACCCTCTGGAGCCCAGAGCCAGGAGGCAACATCAGGGGAAAGCCTTGGCCTCTGTGCCCTGTTGTAGGACCTCCAGGGGAACTGGCTGGCCACTGTGCAAGACAGGATGCTGGACTCGATGGACCCTCACTGGGTTTGATCCAGCAGAACGTTCCTAATGTTCTTATGCACAGGGCAGCAAACATTAAAGAAGAAGAGGAGATTGGATGTGTACCCCGCCCTTCACTCAGAGTCTCAGAGCGGCTGACAAACTCCTTCCCCCTCCCCTCCCCACAACAGACACCCTGTGAGGTGGGTGGGGCCGGGAGACCTCTTGACAGAAACGGCTCTTTTTCAAGAACAGCTCTGACAGAACTGTGGCTTGCCCAAGGTCATCCAACAGCTGCGAGTGGAGGAGCGGGGAATCAAACCCAGTTCTCCCAGATTAGAGTCCACCGCTCTTAACCACTACACCAAGCTGGCATTTCAAACATTTAAAAAGCATTTTTTAAAAAATATAAAATATTCAAAACACATAAAATCTATTAACATAAACCCATATAAACACACAGAGAGGAGAGCTAGCAACAGCAGACGAGGGAACAGCAAACCTAGCAAAACAGTCTTCACTTGCTGGCTCAAGACAACAACAGGAGGAGACACGCGAATCTCCCTGGGGAGGGCGTTCCAAAGTTTCAGGGCCATCACTGAGAAGGCCCTTTCTCGAGTTGCCACCTGTCTAGCCTCAGATGGTGAGGAAACCTGAAGAAGGGCCTGTGAAGATGTCTGGAGTGGACAGGCAGGTTCATATAGGAGGAGGCACTCCTTAAGGTATACTGGCCCCAAGCCGTTATAGGGCTTTGAAGGTCAAAATCAGCACCTTGATTGGGGCCTGGAAGCAAATTGGGAGCCAGTGTAGGTGGACCCGGAATTGAGTGACATGGTCCCTACGACCTGCCCCAGCCAACAGCTGCAGCATCAAGGGCAGCCCCTCATAAAGAAGAAGAAGAAGAAGAAGAAGAAGAAGAAGAAGAAGAAGAAGAAGAAGAAGAAGAAGAAGAAGAAGAAGAAGAAGAAGAAGAAGAAGAAGAAGAAGAAGAAAAGGAGATTGGATTTATACCCTGCCCTTTACTACCCAAGGGAGTTTCAGAGCGGCTGACAAACTCCTTTCCTTTCCCCTCCCCACAACAGACACCCTGCGAGGCAGGTGGGGCTGAGAAAGCTCTTGACAGGAACTGCTCTTTTTCAAGAACAGCTCTTATCAGAACTACGACTTGCCCAAGGTCACCCAGCAGCTGCGAGTGGAGGAGTGGGGGAATCAAACCCGATTCTTCCAGATTAGAGTCCGCACACTTAACCACGACACCAAACTAGGGAAGGAAGAGACCTCCGCCATAGAGTCCACCCTCCAAAGAAGAAGAAGAGAAGAGATTGGATTTATACCCCATGGCCCTTCACTACCCAGAGGAGTCTCAGAGCGGCTTGCAAACTCCTTTCACTCCCCCTCCCCACAACAGACACACCCTGTGAGGTAGGTGGGGCTGAGAGAGCTCTGACAGAAACGGCTCTTTTTCAAGAACAGCTCTTATCAGAACTACGACTTGCCCAAGGTCACCCAGCAGCTGCGAGTGGAGGAGTGGGGAATCAAACCTGGTTCTCCCAGATTAGAGTCTGCACACTTAACCACTGCACCAAACTGGCTCTCACACTGCATACAGCGCATTGCCAGTAGTCTAATCTGGACACAACCCAGGCATGCACCACAGTGGCCAGATCTTTTCTGCCCATGAAAGGCTGCAGCCGGCTCACCTGCCAAAGCTGGTGAAAGACACCCCTGGGCGCTGCTGCCACTTGCCTCTCCAGTGCTACCCCATCCAGAACAGGAGACAACCCCATTCCTGGGCCAGACCTCCCCCCCCCACCCGCCCACCAGCAGCACCTCTGTTTGCCTGGTTTTCATGAGCAAGAAAAGCAGAGAGTTGAACGATTAGATCTCTTCTGTATGCTCCCCCTTTGGGCCCCGATCAACGCCACCCAGCCGGGTAACAGATTAAAAAACCACCAATGCATAATAATAAACACAAAAACCATTAGAACAGAACAGGATCACACCATTAAAATAATGAAAACCAAGAGGAGAGAAGCAATCTAATCCTTCAACTCTCTACTATTCAGTTTTGCTCACGAAAACCAGACGCCCACATGGCTGGTTGCAAAACGGAGGTGCTACTAGTGGTGGTGGGGAGGTCCACGCACTGGGGGCCACCACAGAGAAGGGATGTGAACAGGCAACTGCCAATTTTACCTGTCTGTGAAGTGGCACTCTGCATCTACATCTGGCTTATCTCTGTGATAAGCCAG